GTTGGTAATTTGTAAATGTAAAGAAAATTCGGTGTTTTATTAGGATTTATTTTAAATTCCTTAATAGATCATCAACACTTATATCAATGCTCAAATTGGTTCAAAGGTCCTCTCAGAACTCAAGAGAGCAATAAGCAAGAAAGCATTTCTTTGTTTCTTATCTGCATATCTATGGAAAATCGCTTATTTGTTGTTTTTTGATTCTTCTTTATGCAATACTTTTCCATTTAGAGCATTTATTATTTTAAAATGAATAATGGATCCTTTATTTGTTTCATTAGATTAGAGAAAGTCATAGATCAACAGCTGGCTTCCGAAGAGGTAGAATCCCCTCCGGCTGGTACCTCTACTCACCAGAAACCGATAACTTCTTTAAACAATGATGCTTCTGATGCCTTGACTATAGAGAGTACCTCGCGAGCACTCAGTAAGTTGACGTTGGAGGCTTTGAAGAAACGGGCGGAGGACATGTCAGAAGGATTACGACAAGCAATGGCTCTTCGTGAGAAAGCCAAGGGAAACGAAGTGGGTTATGAAAATTTATTTTTGGAGTAACCTAATTGTATTCATATTTTATTCTTTCAAAGTAAAACAAGAGATTCGAACAGTTATATTAGGGCAATCCTTCAACAAATTTACAGCTTAACTTTTATTTGGAGAAGCCATTATATATATGTATATGTATATGCTAAGATGCCAATTTAGACAATTCAATCTATCGAAGGTATGAAGACCAAGATGGTGTGGCCTTTTGTGTAGTCGCAGTCTACTTTCGTTGTATAGAAGTTGCTTAACCTTGTTTTCGCAACATGGTTATATTGGTAGGAAGACTTAGAGGAACGCACCTAGTCCGGAGTCCATTATATGCATGATCATTTCCAAATCGGACTTTGGACTTGGTAAATTCCCAGACGTTTCGCCGGCATCGTAGTCGGCATCATCAGTGAGTCTCGCCATTTTTAGCATCACACGACAGCTCGCAAAGAGACAAGTGAAACCGATCCTTTGACCAAACGTGTGCTAAAAAGTTATAGTATCTCCGCTTCTGCCCTGGGCTATTCACATTTCCTATATCGTCCTATCACGCCTTCACTGTGCTAAGAATGGCGATACTCACTGACGATGCCTTCTATGATGCCGGCGAAACGTGTGGGAATGTACCACGTCCACGTTCCTACTCTGGAAATGATCATGCATACAATGAACTCCGGATTAGGTGCGTTCCTCTAAGTTTTCCTACCAATATAACCAAGTTGCGAAAACAAGGTCAAAAAACCCCTATGATTAAGTTTGTTTTATCTCACAACTTGACACTCACATTAAATGAGTTCTACATTCGCACTCACTGAACAGACAAGACTAGATATTTAATAATAATCGTCTTGCGGCATGACTTTATATTCCCATGGAAAAGCTGGTTGGAATAAATTCGTGGAATGCTCTCACCGGAAACCGAAACACGATTGCCGCTGAGTGAGTATTTTTGTATTGTACGAAGAAGTCCTCGACTCATTGACCTGCGATCCTGATTTCTAGCCTACCTGCCTCTTATTTTGCTATCTTACAAAGGCTTTTCATGCCTCTACATTTTTACAGATGAGTAAAGTTGATAAGTCTGGGGTAGAGCAACTATTTACTAAACCTTCCCACTTTCTAGCCCCTATAATTTACCTCCGCCATATTAATCCATCTTAATCGGTTTCCCATACTCACCCCACCCAATTTGATTCCTTCTTTGTTATGGTCTCTATAAAGGTAAATTTTCTTTTTTTTCCTAAATCAACGAATTCTGTATACTATCAATTCTATTTATGAACTTAATAAATTCCTACAGACGGGTGTATTGCTAAACAAAATATTTTCTTGACAAATACTATAAAGAATATAACTGACTTACGGTTTAGTATATCAGAATGCTTCCTGAATTAGGCTAGAAATGAATTTTTGCTACACAATCCCATATCATAAGTTATCATTAAGGAGCAAATGTTTCTCAGGCCTCTTAAACTCTGGCTGCTTATGTATCGTTGACTCCTAAGACCATGCCACCTAGCCTACCGAAAATATCATATATCATTGTATATTGACACCAGATTAAAACTTATGGGCGAATCCTTATGCTTCATCACTTGCTCGTCCATCAGCTTAAAATTAATCTAAATTCCATGCTGAAAACTGTTAGGATCTGGAGATTTGTATCGACTGGTAGCAAATCCCGAAGTTTCTTATCATGTCTACTTTTCGTCTCCTGAATGTTATGTCATACCGTTTATCAGTTAGTTGCTGTAGCATCACGAATTCCTTTCAAATAATAGTGTTTGATAGGGCTTTCTTAAGTCTGGATTCAATTCGTATTAAGAAGCTTGGTTTTCTGCTTCCTGGAAGTCTAAATGTGATAAGATTTTGGGGTACTCGCTCAAGTTTTCACTTTTATCTTGTTTTAAATCTTATCTAGGAAAAATACAAATTCTTTGAATAATTCTTTAATAAGAATTCGATAACTACTTATACCAAAAATCATAAAAATAATTGGAGATATGAAGACCAAGATGTTGTGGCCTCTGGTATGGTCGCAGTCTCCTTTCAATTTATAGAAGTGGGTT